TGATGATTACAGCTTTGTAATAGAGCTTGAAGTCTGGAATTGTGATACCTCCAGCTTTGGTTTTCTTTTTCAACATTACTTTGGCTATTCAGGGTCCTTTCTGATTCCATACAAATTTTAGGATTGTTTGTTCCAGCTCTGTGAAAAATGCTGGTGATATTTTGATAGGGATTGCACTGAATATGTAGATTGCTTTGGGTAGTATAGATATTTTAACAATATTTGTTCTTCCAATTCATGAGCATGGAATGCTTTTGCATTTCTTTGTGTCTTCCTCAATTTCTTCCATAAGTGTTATATAGTTTTCAGAGTACAGATCCTATACCTCTTTGGTTAGGTTGATTCCTAGGTATCTTATGGTTTTTGGTGCAAATGTAAATGGGATTGATTCCTTGATTTCTCTTCTGCCTCTTGCCTTTTTTTTTTTTTTTTTTTTTTTAGATGACCCTGACAATTTTGAGAAGTACCGGTCAGGTATTTTGTAGCACGTCATTTTGAGTTTGTCTTGATGTTTTCCTCATGTATGGACTGGGATTTAGGGTTTGGAGGAGTAATAGGACAGTGGTGACATATTCTCATCACGTAGTTATCAATGGTACATACTATTAACAATGACCTATGACTGATAAGCTTGATCGCCAGGCTGAGACCATGTTTATCAGGTTTCCCCACTTAGCAAATTGCTAAGCACAGTCCACACTCAAGTGTAGGAGTGGAATAGGGTTAAGATTTACTTCCTGGAGGAGGGAATATCTATGTAACATATTTGGAATTCTTCCGTAAGAGAGATTGGTCCTTTTCCCCCCATTTATTCATTCAATCATTTATATCTGTATGTATTCGTGGATATTTGCTTTCTGCTTTGGGTTATAAAATAGTATGTTATTTTGGCCAGTGGGAGCTCTTTCCAGTTGGGCTATGTCTTTTTGACCTACCGCATCCTTTTTCCTTTCTGGTACTATAAGCTCTAGGCTCATCTTGTATATTCCTAGTCGTAGAATCTGCAGTTTCTCCAAGAAGGCCTGATTCCTCTTATTGGAGAACAGTATTAGAACCAAGATCTAATGTAAACAGTTCTGAAGTGGTTTTTACTGGTTTATTCTCCAACTATATTTGCCAAATTTCCTTTAAAATTTTTTGCAATTTTTTTTATTATGGACAAGAGGCTTTAATTTCAACATAGTTAACTGTATCTCCTAATAGTCATCCAGATTCTCAATCATTTCCCTTATTGTGCCCAAGCTGGTAAGTCCCTCCTCTCCTAAGTTGTAATGAATATTCTCTGCTACTTTCCCCCCTCTGATATGAAGTATTATTAATGGCTTACTGATTTGCTCTGAGCTTTATTCTGTAAGGATACTAATTTTTTCTGAATGGTTTACCAGTGTCCTAATAATCTGCACTGAAATGCTTCCCTTTTCAATTACAGTATTCCTTCTGTTATACATAAAATCTTATCAGATTGTCTTTTCCTGAGTTATCTACTTTGCTGCTTGCTTCGATTTGTTTGTTATGGTAGCATCATAGAGAAGGACTGATTGAGTTACATATTCAGCAATAGAGGGTAAGGCTTTGGAAGTGGTTTCAACCTGGGGCAGTTTGCTGCCCTGAGGACATCTAGCAATGTCTGAAGATACTTTGTCACAACTGTGGGAGACTGAAAAATCTAATGGTATCTAGTGGGTAGAGGCCAGCACTGCTGCTAAACATCATATAGTGCATCTAAGTGTCCCTCAAATAAAGAATTATCTGGCCAACAATGTTAGTAGTAAGGTTGAGAAACCGCTATAGGAGATTCCATCAGAGCAACCAAGAAAGAAAATCAGGCAAGAGTGTAGGAAAAGGGTGAGAATACCCTGTTTTCTAGATAAAATGTCACTTCCCCCAAACTTTCTCATCTCTACCCTCTCTAGAAAAGAATCCCTCCTTCGTGTTCTAGAATACTACTAGAGCTCAGAAAAATTGCCATTACATATTTAGAGGTCCTCCTCTTCCCAAAGCCCAGTATTCAGCACAGGGTCCAGTATCACAGAACATGGTCACACAGATGGCATTTAACCCCAAATTCCCTGTGCCTAGAAAAATAAAGTGAAATTAAAAAGCAGTGTTACCTAGTAGAAAGAGAATGAGCTTTGTAGTTTGATTGGCTACTTGTCAACCCTGTAACCTAGGCAAGTTTCAGGACTATTTTTAAGACTAAAGAAAATTTTCATAAAGAACCTATACACTGTACATCCTCAACAAATGTCATTATTAACATGCACTGAATGAATATTTTGAACAAATGTGCTTTAATTATAAGGGGCAAACATTTACACCAATAAATTTGCAAATTGAAATAAATCCTCTTAGACCATTGATTCCCATTTTAGTTCAGAATATGTTGGGATTTATGATATGCCTTGACATAAGAAGAGCAATCCCAGAGTTTTCCTCTTCCCAAAAATATAAACAAAGGAAGAACAAAATAGAACACAGAACAAAACAAAAATAACAGAACAAAACAAAACAGAACAAAATAACAGTTCCTTTAAGAACAGCATAAAACCTTTGGGAAGGAGGCCAGAGTATATGGTACTTTCTATCAGAATAGTAGACCTCATGTAGTAGTAGAAACCCAATAGGATTCAGAACCATACAGATCTTGGCTCACAGAGACACCTGAAAAGACAAGAGGAAAATGAAGAAAGTGTGGTATTATGAAAGCCAAGGGGAAAGAGAGCATCAAGCAGTAAGGCATTGTTAAAACAGCAATTATTATATGTATGGCACCCTGTAAGTTAGGTGCATGCATTAACTTCTAATCTTTGCAGAGGTGGGGACTGTTTTTTTTTTCTTATAGATATGACTGTTGAATCCAAAAATAAATACCTATTGGGTTTTGCAACAGGGTGGTAATTGGTATAAGTTATCTCAGTGGAATTCTGGTTGCAAAAGTGAGATTGCAATGGATTGTGGAGGAATAATAGGTTACGTATAGAAGACTCTGAAGAAGTTTGAGCATGAAGATGAAGCAGATGTGGAGTAAAGGGAACATTTATGTAAGACTAGAGTTGGACATGTTTATATATGTCATTGAGACCACTGAGTGGTCAGGGAGAAGCCTTTTGGTCCTGGAGAAATTCCTCCTTTGTTCCTTTGAAGTTTCCTCAAATTTATTCCTTTTTGCTTCTTCTTAAAAAATTACTGTGGAACCTGTTTTGGTCACATCCTAATCTAGAATCTGGAATATTTCTTCAGTGCAGTTAAAAAAAAAAAAAAAAAAAACCCCGAAATAGCTGATTGCTCCCTAATTACTGTAGGATAAAGTCCTGATTTACTATGTAATTTTGAGATAATTCACTTTCTGCTTAAGAAGTAAAATCCCCCTTCTGTACATTTTTATTTCCCTCATCCTTCTTTTACAGGCCCATTAGCAAGATTAGGGGTCAGTATTTTGGAGGACGGAAGGATCTCAGTTTTGTCTGTATTACTAGCTCTGTCTCTCTAACCAGTTACTCAAGAGGAGATGAGGCACTTGACACAGTTTAAGTGATTAACTGGAGGTACCTGGGTTGAATAAGAAACCGAATAAGGCTCTTAGGTGGCTGATAAATAAGAGGAAAACAGGCCTCAATAGAAGAGGATTTGATTGTATTTGAAGAACTGTCACAGTGGGGGAGGGCAAGAAATTGCTCCTTTACCTGGAAGGAATTAGGAGAGAATGGGTTATAGGAGCCTGCGGGTTAGGTGTGGAGTAGTCCTTGCTGATAAAGTCTGGAGTGAGCAACAGAATGAAATGTTGGAGTGGAACATGGTCATGGGAGCTGAGGTCCTTGATGTGGGAGAATGTGGTTTGGGGTGAGCTTTAACATGGAACACTTTCAGAATATGTGCAGTGTTGGGGAGTGGGTGTAAAAGGAGCTCGTGAGCTGGAAATGCAGACCCTCACCGGCTATGTATGGATTTGTGACCAGAGATGACAGGACAAAAAGAGCTAGATGGTGGCATATTCCAGTTGTTTGTTCTTCAAGAGTAATTATGTGTTGGTGGGGGGCAATAACAATGTTTTATGGGCTGAGATACATGTTGGGTGTTGGTCAGGGAGTGAAGGCATGAGGAGAATTGCCAGTACTTAGGAGCCTGGTCTGTGCCAGGTGATAGATGAACTCTACCTCATTTAATCCGTACTGCAGTTCTCTGAGGGTGATTCTAATCTTCTCACTTCAGGAGAGTAAACTGAGTCTCAGAGAGATGAATTGCCTTTACTTCTTACAGCTCATAAGTTGTGGGACTGGGAGGGACTTTGGGAAGGTGGAAGAAACCTACAGTGGTCTGTATTAAAGGAATGTTTTTATAACCCCAAATGTAGTACAGGGGACACTAAATACTGAGCCTAACACTGGGGCTTCACGTGTTTGTTTGTGGAATTAATCTGTATTTTATAGGCATTTTGTTTTCTAATCCTTTCCATCAGTCCTGTTTGTTCATATTCTTTATTTTTTTTTTTTTGGAGGAACCTGTTCTTTATTATTATTATTATTTTTTTAGTTTAGCTCTTTTTTTTTTTAAGATTTTATTTATTTGACAGAGAACACAAGCAGGGAGAGCAGGAGAGGGAGAAGTAGGCTCCCCGCTGAGCAGGGAGCCCGATGTGGGGCTCGATCCCAGGACCCTGGGACCATGACCTGAGCCGAAGGCAGACGCTTAACGACTGAGCCACCCAGGAGCCCTAGCTCTTCTTTTCCCCGCCCCCCGCCCCCGCCCCCTCTCTCCTCCCCCCTCAGAGAGAGAGAGAGAGCGCGCAGTGGGGAGGGGCAGAGGGAGAGGAAGAGAGTCTTAGCAGACCCTGCACTGAACTCAGAGCCCTACACTGGGCTCCGTCTCACGACTCTGAGATCACCACCTGAGCAGAAACCAAGAGTCGGACACTCAACAGACTGTACCACGCAGGTGCCCCTATCCATGTTCTTCGGATTGTTTTTCTCCCACTGAAGCCTGAATACTGATCCATGAGCAAGATGACAGATGGGTCGTCATCTTCCTTCTTTCCTGACTTTGGGCTGCTGTTGTATTTGGAAGAGCTAAACAAAGAGGAATTGAATAAATTCACGTTACTTTTAAAGAATGAGACTGTGGAGCCCAGGGACTGCCAGATACTCTGGGCTGAGGTAAAGAAGGCCGATCGAGAAAATCTGGCTAATTTGATGAAAAAATATTATCCTGGGGAGCAAGCCTGAGTTGTGGCTCTCAAAATCTTTGGCAAAATGAGCCTGAAGGATCTGTGTGAGAGAGCAACAGCAGAGATCAACTGTGAGGGATGCTGGGGACCTATCTGGGGCTGGGGGAAGGGTGGGTTTCCTGAGGCCCATCGGCATGATTCTCTGAAAGGAACTTGGGGATTAAACCATTGTTGGATCATTTGAGAAACCCTGAAGAGGCAGGAGGGTTTTGAGTACTCAGCCTGGCTCCTTAATTGGGGGTAATTCAGCCATCTTGTACCAGTTAGGATGATTAAAGGAATTGAATGATAAGAATTGTCCCATCTAGTGTTCCTTTGCCTGAACTGCAAATAGTCATAGGTTGCATTAAATTTTAAATGACTTAAAATAGGATTTAAAATCTTTGCTCAAGTATGAGGAATGGGCAAAATATTAAGGGGCATAAGCCAAGCTGATATTTTTGGTCATTCCTAAGTAGGAAATATTAAACATCAAAAATTTCTTTCTTGTGTTCTTTACAAGGCTTTACAGCTACAAAGTTGTATTCGTTATTTCCCAGGAGCCTCACCATATTCCTGTGAGGTCAGTGTAGACAAGGACACAGGTTTAGACTAAGGCACCTGCCCTCAAGTTACAGGTTGGAGGGTCTGGCAAGAGGTCCCTGCTTCAGTGCTGTTGATACCACATCACTTCTCCCTTAGCTAAGCTGGTGGAGTCTGAGGCTCTGTTGACTCCAGTTTTCTTAAGCCCAAATCTCATAGAATTGGACTGCTGAGGACAATCCTGGCCCCTGTTCTAGCTATCACTAAAGCTCCCCTTGTCTTTGGTGAATCTCCCAATCCTGTTGGAACCTGTCACAGGGACAGCCCAGACCACGGGGCCAGAGGATGCCAGGACACAAGAGGAGCAAGATGATCAGGAGGCAGTGGAGGGTGAGTAGATGTGTTTTGTTTTCAGCTTTGGGAGGAGCTTGAGGGTTTGAAATGTAATAGGGGTTTATGCCCCAGGGGACAGTTGTTGATGATTATTCAAAAAGAGTCAACAAAACTGGCTGTCTGGCCAAGGTCAGAATCAGGGCCATGTAAATTCAGGGCCTCAGTGAGAGGAGTGTTTGGAAATGCCCAGCCGGAAGTTCACAGTCTGATGAAGAAGGGTATATTCATGTCTCATTTTACAGATTAAAGAGTCCCTGAGTTTGGAAAGGACTGTTGGGTTTATCACAACCACTTTCTTCCTTTAGAAATGATCCTGTAATTGAGGTCCAGGAGTGGTGACCAACTGGTCCATATAGAATGTAATTTCTAGAACCAGGTCTTCTTAGTCTTACTTCAATACCATTTCCATTCCCCCTAATTTGTTTCATATTCTATATAGTTGAATTCTAGTTTGTATAAATAGAATTACAGTAGAAAGAAAACTGGACCAGGTGAGAAATCATTCTTAACCCAGCTATGCTATTTTCTGACGGGCCACATTATTTCATTCAAGAAGTAATTGAGACCTAGTTTATTCCAAGCACTAATAAATAAAAATTGCTTATTGTGTTAGATGATCTTGAAGATAACTTTCTGCTTTGGCCTTAATTTCTGATTTGGTATAAGGAAGTTTATTCTTATGGTATTTATTACTGGCCATACATTTAGGAAATCAGGATTCCACCTCATAGAAGTTAACTGTTAGAAGATGGAAGATAGATAAAAATATAATGAAGGAAGTAAAAATCATCCTCCTAACCCCCATTTTCTTTTGAGTACTGCACTGTACGAGATAGCGTACCGCAGAGAGCATCTGCCTTGCAGTACGTAACTTCTGGACAAGATCTAAGCATCAGCTAGTGCGACACGAATTATGTTAGATGTTTGTACTGAATGCCCTGGTAGAACAAAGAAAAGAATTACTTTAAAAAATATAGTTTGTGAGATATGCTGTGAAAAATATACCATGTTTTGAGAAATATGAGAGAGGACTCTTCTAGCATTGGGGTTCACAGAGGGTTTCTCTGAGACAGTGACATTTAAGCTCTAAAGAAGGAATCAGACTCAACTAGGGTGAAACTGTTTTCATTCTGCTTGGACCTTGGGAATATTTTTTGAATTTTAATTCCAGGACAGTTAACACACAGTATTATATTAGTTTCAGATGCACAATAGAGTGATTCCACAATTCTGCACAGTACTCCGTGCTCCTCCCGACAAGGGTCCTCTTGATCCCCTTCGCTTATTCCACCCCTCCCCGCCACCCTGTAGCCATCCTCTAGAGTTAACAGTCTGTTTCTTGGTTTGTCTCTTCTTTTTCTTTGTCCATTTATTTTGTTTCTTAAATTCCACATATGAGTGAAATCATGTGGTATTTGTCTTTGACTTATTTCACTTAACATTATATTCTCCAGATCCATCCATCTTGTTGCAAATGTCAGAATTTCTTTTTATGGCTGAGTAATATTCCATTGTATACATACACCACTTATCCATTCATCTATCAATAAACATTTGGGCGGCTTCCTTGTCTGGCAATTGCAAGTAATGCTGCAATAAAACATAGGGGTGCATATATCTTTTTGAATTAGTGTTTTCATATTCTTTGGGTAAATACCCAGTAGTGGAATTACTGGATCATATGGTAATTGTTTTTAATTTTTGAAGGAACCTGCATACTGTTTTCCAGTGTCTGCACCAGTTTGCATTCCCACCAACAGTGCACAAGGGTTTCTTTTTCTCCACATCCTCACCAACACCTGTTGTTTCTTGTGTGTTAATTTTAGCTATTCTGACTGGTGTGAGGTGATAACTCAATATGGTTTTGATTTGCATTTGCCTGATGATGAGTGATGTTGAGTATCTTTTCTTGTGCCTGTTAGCCATCTGTATGTCTTCTTTGGAGAAATGTCTGTTCCAGTCTTCTGCCCATTTTTAACTGGATTATTTGTTGTTGTTTTTTTTTTGATGTTGAGTTGTGGAAGTTCTTTTTAATGTGAAGTAATCCCTATACCCAACATGGGGCTTGAACTTACAGCCAACAGTCAGTCACATGCTCCATCGACTGAGCCAGCCATGTGCCCTGAGTTGTAGAAATTCTTTATATAGTTTGGGTACTAACCCTTTATCATATATATCCTTTGCAAATATCTTCTCCCATTCAGTAGGTTGTATTTTGGTTTTGTTGATTTGCTTCCCTTGCTGTGCAGAAGATTTTATTTTCCTGTGGTCCCAGTACTTTATTTTTGCCTTTTGTTTCCCTTGCCTGAGAAGACATATCTAGAAAAGGGAATACTTTTTTTTTAATATTCTTCAGGCTCTGCTTCAATGTTCATTTCTATTAATGTTTTACTATAAAGTGGATTATTTTGATCTGTGGATTCAGATATATCTTCAGGTCCTCCCTGGCTGTCACTGTTAATTGTGTTCTTTTTTCATCTGAGTGATGACTCTGTTCTCCATATAGTCCTCTTTTTTTTCTCTGTAGAGGAAAAGTACAAAGAAAACATATTTCTTTTTTTGTTTCATTTAAATTCAAGTTAACATACAGTGTATTATTAGTTTCAGGAAGAGAAATTAGTGATTTATCAGTTGCATATAACACCCAGTGCTCAGGGCGCCTGGGTGGCTCAGTCGTTGAGCATCTGCCTTCGGCTCAGGTCATGATCCCAGGGTCCTGGGATCGAGCCCCGCATCGGGCTCTCTGCTCAGCGGGGAGCCTACTTCTCCCTCTCCCACTCCCCCTGCTTGTGTTCCCTCTCTTGCTGTCTCTCTCTGTGAAATAAATAAAATCTTAAAAAAAAAAAAAAACACCCAGTGCTCATTACATCAAGTGCCCTCCTTAATGTCCTTCACCCAGTTAACCCATCCCTCGCACCCCCCTCCCCTCCAGCAACCTCAGTTTGTTTCCTAGAGTCCAGCATCTCTTATAGTTTGTCTCCCTCTTGATTTTCATCTTTTTATTTTTCCTTCCCTTCCCCATGTTCATCTGTTTTGTTTTTAAATTTCACATATGAGTGAAATCATATGGTATTTGTCTTAAGAGAACATATTTCTAGTGTGAATCTAATTTTTACTTTCCGCCCCAAATTCATCCTTCTGCACGACCAGTTTTGTTTTTTCAGTTTCTTATGCGGGTTTTAAATCTACAGGAACCTTTGTTTGTTTTACTTACATTCTTTTCTAAACCAGCTGCACTTTGATTTGAGCCGAGCTGAGTGTTCTTAACACTGCATTTCATAGAATTTGCTTTGATCATGTGTATCTTTGTTTTCTTTTTCTTTTTTTTTATGCTGTATTCTGACTTAGGTGATGGAACGGAATACAGAATCCAAATAAAGGAAAAATTCTGTATCATGTGGGATAAGAAATGTTTGTTGGGAGAACCTGAAGATTTCCATCCTGGAGTTGCTCAGGAAGATCGATAACTGTTGGAACATCTGTTCCACGTGGATATGAAAACCTGTGAGCAGCCACAGACAGTCGTGCTCCAGGGGGCTGCTGGAGTTGGGAAAACAACCTTTGTGAGAAAAGCAATAGTAGATTGGGCCCAGGGCAGTCTCTATCAGCAGAAGTTTAGCTATGTTTTTTATTTCAGTGCAAGAGAAATCAACCAGTTGAGAGAACGAAGCTTTGTTCAAATGATATCCAAGGACTGGCCCAGCCCGGAAGGCTCCATTGAAAGGATAATGTCCCAGCTGAGTAGTCTTTTTATTATTGATAGTTTTGATGAACTGAACTTCGCCTTTGAGGAACCTGAGTTTGTGCTATGCAAAGACGACCCAGGTGCACCCAGTGTCCTTCCTTATGAGTAGTCTGCTGAGGAAAGTGATGCTCCCTGAGTCATCTTTATGGGTGACAAAGAGACCTACAGCTTGTAAGAAACTAAAGCCTTTGTTGAAGAACCAGCGTTCTGTAGAGCTGCTGGGTATGTCCAAGGTTGCAAGAAAGGAGTATATTTACCAGTTTTTTGAAGACAAGAAGAGGGCCTTGCAGGTATTCAATTCACTAAGAAGCATGAGATGCTTTTCAGCATATGCAAAGTCCCCCAGGTGTGCTGGGCCATCTGCACCTGTCTGGAGTAGCAGATGGAGATGGGTAGTGATGTCTCATTAACCTGCAAAACAGCCACAGCTCTGTTCACCTGCTATATCTCTAGCCTCTTCCCACCAGTAGATGGAAACTGTGCTAGTCCATCCAAGCAAACCCAACTGAGGAGCCTGTGCCACTTGGCTGCCAAAGGAGTGTGGACTGTGATATCTGTGTTCTACGGGGAAGATTTCAGAGAGCATGAGTTAACTAAATCGGATGTGTCGATTTTCCTGGACATGAATATTCTTCAAAAGGACACAGAGTATGAAAATTGCTATGTGTTCACCCACCTGCATGTTCAGGAGTTTCTTGCAGCTATGTTCTGTATGTTGAAAGACAATTGGGGGACCAGGGACAATTCCCTTCAGTCTTTTGAAGATTTGAAGCTATTGCTTGAAAGCAACAGTGATCAAGATCCCCATTTGATGCAGATGAAATGCTTTTTGTTTGGCCTTTTGAATGACGATCTAGTAAAACAACTGGAAACAACTTTGAACTGTAAAATGTCACTGGAGATAAAAAGGAAGATCCTTCAGTGGCTCGAGATACTGGGGAACAGCAAACATTTTCCAGCACCGCTAGAATTTCTGGAGTTGTTCCTCTATCTGTATGAGACTCAAGATGAAGCCTTTATAAGCCAGGCAATGAGATCTTTCCAAAAGATTGTCATTGATGTTTGTGGAAAAGTCCATTTACTTGTGTCTTCAATCTGCCTTAAGCCCTGCCAATGTTTATGGACCATTAAACTGTCTGTAACTGTGTTATTTGAGAAGATGTTAAACTCAAGTCCCCCAGCTGAACTTTGGTAAGTGGGGAAGTGCCCTGTCAGGGGAGTGAGGAAAGGAAGTTTTATCAGTGGGAGGGGAGGGGAATTGTTTAGCAGAGGTCCCAGAGCTAGGATTACCCTTCAGAGTTGTCCCACCTTGAGGCAAGGAAGCCAAACACTAAAATCCCTCATTGACCAGTCATGGCTACTGGTGAGGAAAGGACAGAAACTTGCCTGAAGTGACTGTCTTGGCCTGAGGGCAATCCCAAGAAAGGGGCATGGCTGAGAGCAATCACCTGGCAACACTCTTAACAGCTAGAAATAACCTTTAGTCCTCAGGGAGGGATGTGACCTAGCACAAAGTTGGATCCACTATGGTACGTATATTTAACTTTTAAAAAGAATGCATTCTGGAAGGACTAGGGACCAGGAATTTCTTGCTGAAGCTATTTGACACAGGGCATCTGTCTGGGCTACGTCCCTCACCTTCCCCATTGCCTAGACATAGGTCAGCCTTTGCTTCGTACTTCATGAAAGGTCTCAGCCCTTTAACACCTAACAGGAGAGTCTGATTTGGGTAAGAAATAGTAGGAGCTGAATGAATATTTTGAAAGAATAAATGAATCTAAATAATCTAAAATAAGTGAAGTGTTTGATGCCTATTTTACCCTCTCCCATGAGTTGCCTTTTCTGACTCTATCCATCTACGTCTAAGGGAAGAATTGAACTATGGGATTACCTCTGGATTTAACTGAAATTGAGGGCTTACTATGCGGTATATAGTTATATAGTATATGGGATATTTAACCAGTTATCCAATTTGAAGCTGGTCAAAAGCATATCTCAATTTATTTTTGAGAATACCAAACTGCGATTCAGAGAAGTTCACCTAGAAAGTAAGTGTACCATTATTGATTCAAGCACACATCAGATAATAGCTAGCATCTGTTTGACACATGCCCAGCAGTCTTCTGAGGCCCACCTCAAGTCATCTCAACAATCCCAGGAAGATGCTGTTATTTCCATTTTACTAGTAAAAACCCTGAGGTACCAAGAAGACATCAACTTGACTGAGGTCACACATCTGATTGTCAAGTCCTTGGTTTTCCAGCTTGACCCACGCTGCCTCCTTGCCATTACGTACAGTTGCAGAACCACGTCTCTTATAAGGACCTACATTTTTATTTCTCTTCTGCTGTGGGAGTAGAACTGTAGGCTGGGATGCTGTGACCTTTACTGTCCTTGGGGTGTTGTAAATCTCCTTTAGTCTGTTTTCTCAATTCTGACTTAGTGGTTCTGTTAAGACCTGTGATTGAACCCAGGGCATTAGAATGTATTTTATGCCTAATAATATTAGGAAGGCATTCTGGCCATTATACAGCTAGTCCTCATGCTACCTTCCCCTCACCTGTGTTCTAGTGTTACCTAATATTAAGAGTTGGCATTGTTGCTAAAGTAAGTCTGAGAACCCAGTGCTTTAAGAGGCACATTATAGGTCGGTCAGTGTCTTCTATAACATAACAACATTGTAAATTTAACAGTATGTCTGTCTTATTCACCATTAAAACCTATGGCATTTCTACATAGTAAGCACTTAAATGTTTGATTTATTGCCTAGTTTTGTCAAATTTAAGACCTCAGTTGATGTAGAGACCAGCACTCTGCAATGTTATTCAATCCAAGATAAGGTATGGGGGAATCAATATTTATTGAGTAGTGACTGAGATCAGGATATGCTACCCCAAAATATGTCACTTTTCCATAAGTATTTTGAGCTGAAGGCATAGGAGTTCCTGAAACCCCTTACCTGCCTAGAAGCAGAACCTCCAAAAAGAACTATCTTCAATCCCCTCCCTGGAAGCAATTTCTCTACCTTCTTCTTGGAGACAGAAGTTGGCCCCATACCCAGGCAGACACTGTCACAAACACTTTTTCCACAAGTGCCTTTTATCCCCCTGCCTTTTTCCTGCTGAATTAGTTATATAAACCCCAAAGTCTGTCTATCCCTTTAAATTACTCCTCACTAATTTCACCCACAATGCACATGCTAATACAATTTGTATGCTTTTCTCTTGTTAATCTGTCTTTTGTCAGTCCAATTTACAGGGCCCCCCTAGAAGCTAGGAGGGCACAAGGAAAAAGATACTTTTTCCCTCTCCTACAGCAGCTGTTTGTATAAGGCAACATGCTAGACTTTTATATATTTTAATATGAATAAGGGCAGCTACCAATTGTAAGCACTTATAATGGAAAACATTTGCCAACCATTTTCTGTGGATTGTCCTGATCTTCACAGTAATCCTAAGAAATAGATACTATTGTCTTCATTGTTTAAGAAGCAGCGGAGGCTCACATACTAGCACTGCTAGAATCACCCGTGTTAGTGAATGGCAGAGTTGGGACTCAAGACTCTTTTGTTATAAGAGCTTATGCTTATAATCATAAATCATCTGTTTTATTCCTTATTAACCTTTGTTTATAATGAGCTTATTGAAAATATGCCTAATAGTTAAATTATACAACATTTACAGATTTACAGAGTGCTTTTGTGTATGCACTACACTTGACTATTAGATCCTCACAATCCTGTGAAGGGAGATGGAATTCCCATTTCATAGATGAAGAAAGCTCAGAGTTCATAGAACTGATGTGACTTACCTAAAGTCAGGTAGCTAGTAAACTGGAGAACTGCAGCTCGTACCCATGGTTCTTAATCTCCACCCCGGTGCCTGGATCTCTGCCCACTATGCCTATGCTTACAATTTGTGGTCTTAGATTATTTTTCTTCTTGATACACGCTCTTTGGCTATTTGAAGACCTCTGTCGTCCTTCCTAAGTCTCGTCCTCCAAAATGAAGTCTCTCTAGGCTAACTTTGTGTGTTGTGTTGAAGGGGTGAGGGAGTTATTGGGCAAACAAAGCCTCCTGGAGTGCCAAGAGGAAGACTGTTGGGTGGACTGTGCCCACACAAGACCTGCACTGATGCACTCGCCATTTCTAGAATAACTTACTTCCACCCAGGGGCACCTGGGTGGCTCAGTTAAGCGGCTGCCTTCGGCTCAGGTCATAATCCCAGGGCCCTGGGATAGAGTCCCGTGTTGGGTTCCTTGCTCAGCGAGGAGCCTGCTTCTCCCTCTGCTTGCCGCTTCCCCTGCTTGTGCTCTCTATGTCAACTAAATAAAATCTTAAAAACAAAAAACAAAACAACTTCTACCCAATACCATCTTCTGAGACTTGCCCGGGCTGAAATAGATACATAGATCTTGTGTTTTTCTTGATTATTTAGGCGAAGGGATGGTGGTCACATTACTCATTACTGGCAAGATCTCTGTTCTGTGCTTTATACAAATGAGCACTTGAGAGAACTGGACCTGTGTCATAGCAACCCCGATGAATTAGCCATGAAGACTTTTTATCAAGAACTGAGGCACCCAAACTGTAAACTACAAAAACTCTTGTAAGTTTGGCATGAGAAAATTTCATGGAGTATTTCAACTTCTTTCTTTGTCCCACCTCCCACTACACTTATTAGGCAAATCCAAGGATAAACACTTAAAATCCACTGTGTAAAATATTCTAAGAACACCCACAGTAGAAACCTCAGGGGATGTGGGGGCATAACTAGCTTGTTCTGGGAAAGATTGCTTGGAGTGTAGAAGCTGTTGACATGGTTTTTGAGGCTTGCTAAGGAATTTTCTAGATGAACAACACAGAGCTAAGGCATTCTAGGCAACTCAACAGAGCACTTGCAAAGCTAAGTTCTGGAGCATACTATTTAATTTTTCTATTGAGTAATTTACATTTAATAAAATGCACAGTTATGTCTAGTTAAGTTTTGATGATTACATATACCTATGTAACCAATACTCAAAATAAGATAGAAAACACATCACCTCTGGAAGTTTCCTTCTACCCTCTTCTATTCACTTTTCTTATCCTATGCAGTCTCCGTAGCAACCACTTTCTAACCTTTTATCACTATAGGTTAGCTTGTGCTGTTCCTGTAAATGATTGAGATTGTTTCATATGGTCAGTATGTACTTGCTGTGTCAATATTCTTTTGCTCCACAAAATATTTTTAAAAACTTACCCACGTAGGTAGTTGCATGTTTCGATAGTATATTGCTAATGAGCCTGCCATTGTATGATAGATTGCAACTCCTTCATTCTCTTTTGAATAGACCCCTGGGCTGTTTCCAGGTTTTGGCCAGTATGAATAAGGCTGCTAGGACTATTCTTGGATGCATTTTTTGTGTGTGATACAGGTTTTCATCTCTTGGGCTAATATTTCAGAATGGAATTACTAGTTCACAGATGGATGTTAACTTGTTATAGGAAGTTGCCAACTAGCTCTCTAGAGTGGTTGTACCATTTTTCAGGCTTACCGGCAATATGTGGAAGTCCCCGCTGCTCCTCGCCCTTGCCAACGTTTGGTATTTCAGTCTTTATTACATCTTAATTTGATTCTACAGACCCTATCACTGATTTACATTGGCTGGTTTACACATCTTTCTCCTTGTCTACTGGGTGTACTAGGAGCTGGAACTGATCCTATTTAGTCTTGATTAAGGGGGGGTTCCTGGAAATCCTCTTCCTTCGCCCCTAGACCTCTCCCCTACATTTCCCTTTCACTGAATGTCACCAGTCTGAAGCCCTAACAAGAGCTACTGCCTTCTTTTGGGCTAAATGGCTTCCTCTTCTAGAATGCGAGGGCTCCTTGGGGGAGGACACCATGAAGGCGGCACTTAGTCTTTCCCACCATAGAGTGGCCTTCCTTTCTCAAGTCCCTTTTCCTTAACACATGAAATTGAAATTGGACTTTCAATTTGTATTTAGTGAGTGCTTCAGGCACTTTTACCAGATGATGATGGCTAGTGCTCTTAACAGGTAAAAGCTTTGTTTCTTTGTGCCTAGCCAGAAGGAGGGTGAGGGTAAAGGGTAGGTGGTGGGCAGAACGGAGAAGAGGTGATATTACAAAGGGATGTTTTGAATAGTTAGCACTGTGAACATGCTGGGCATTGGGGGCTAGCAGAGGCACTTAGGGAAGAATCAGATATGGCTAACAGTGCCTGAGTAGCAGACGACAACTGGGAAGAAAGATGGGCATATTGGATTTCCTCCCATATTTAGCTTTGGGCTATCATCGTACATCTAACAAAGTCCATGAGATGACAGCGTATTTTGCAGTAATATGTTTTGCTAATGATGCATCTCAAACAGTTGATATTAACTACGAACTCACCTTGGGTTATTTTAAGGATTAAATATTGTGAATTAATGCTGTAATTGAAATATTTGGAATATTCCCCATTATTTGAGGTAGTTCTTACTGGAATTGAGTTCAAAAACTCCCCTTCTGCTTTTCCTGATGTTATTACCTTCTTTTCCTTCAAGGTCAAAAGAAGTTGAGAGTATCAGTTGTCAGGATGTAATGGACATCTAAGTTGTAACCCAACTGTTTTACTAAGCAACGTCCTGAAACTGATTTATAACCACCCGTGAAATAGGAGAAACTCAAAGTAAGATAAGAAATGAGAGGAATATTTAGATATCAAAGAGTTGGATTTGAAAGGCAAGGGAATGCTGTAACCAGGACAGAGATAATCCTCCTGCATGTTTTTCCTCTGAAGGATGAGATTTCTTTCTTTCCCTGGCGGTTGTCAGGATATCGCCAGTTCTTTGACTCACAACCAGAATCTGATGCATCTTGATCTGAAAGGGAGTGATATAGGGGACAATGGAGTAAAGTCATTATGCGAAGCCTTGAAACACCCAGACTGTAAACTACAGAATCTGAGGTAAGTCGTGAGTTATTTTTGTTATAACTGAGACTTTTGTCTGTCCAAATAGAATCTTACAGCCTTGATTTGCTGTTCATTGGGCCAGCGTCAGTCTATTTTCACGATATGGAATAGCAGGAATCAGTAGATTCAGGGTGATTTCCTCCTGATAGGACTTTTAACTGCTCCCATCCCTTCACTGAGGACGCCCCTCATTGTACAGTTCCATCTCTCCATTTCCTAAGTTTAACAAAAAGACCCAGAATTTATAAAGATTTAAAAATTTTCATATTTCAGTGCGGCCGTATGTGTATTCATTGTATCTTTGAATGCTTACAGGAAAGAATGCACTAATGGTAACTGGGGGCAATGCTAAGCAGGCTCAGTTTTACCTTTTTTTTTTTTTTTTTTTTTAGATTTTTTATTTTTATTCATGAGAGACGGACAGGGAGGCAGAGGGAGAAGCAGGCTCCCCGTGGAACAGGGAACCCCATGAGGGACTCGATCCCAGGGACCCTGGAATCATGACCCAAGCCAAAGGCAGACATTAACCAACTAAGCCATCCAGGCGCCACCCCCGCCTTTTTTTTTTTTTTTTTTTTAATGAAGATGAGCTTTATTTGATAGTGAATCACCATCACCATATAATTGCAACTCGGTAACCCATACAGAGGGCTGAGGAGGAAGAGCACGGCACCTGGCAGCCGGCACAGTACTCCAGTGCCCTCACACACTGTGGAGCCTAGTGGTGGGTCTGCTTTTTTTCTGAAAGTGAGAGGGTTGGCAAGCCTACTTGGTCCCCACACTGTGTGACCGAATTCAAGGGGGATCTTATTTTCCAATGAAAGGTTTTTAATTCAGTTTCTTACAAAATAAAACCAAAAGCAAAACAAAACAAATCCTTGCAGTAAATTTTACCTTAGAAGTTTTTATAATCCCTGGATTCACTTGGGGGTGGGGGAGGGTGTAGGGTGGGGCAAGACAGAACCTTGATGAATGAAAGGCCAAGATAGGTCTGTATTTGTCAGAAGCAAATTATAAACTATACGTAGGAGGCACAAGGAACAAGACCTTTTTGACAATAGGTGGGTGAACTATATTACCTCTGGAGATTCTTTAAATCTCACCGGGTTTTGTAGGATGAAATTCACTTTAGAGCATGTCTGGAAAGTTGCTGGATGCTTCTTGAACATTGCTTGAGTTCAATTGTCAGCAGACCAGGTTGGGGTATTGGTTTTACTGTCTGTGAAGTAGTTTTAGGACTTTGTGAGGAATTTTCAGTAACCTGCCACCTCTAGTCTGGAGCCCAGGTGAGAAGTAGGTCATTGGTTCTTGCTACTAACATGTTAGTAGCAAAAAGCTGTTAGATGGAGGGGAAGATGTTTTCTCCCAGTGGGAGTTGTGGGTCCAAGACAAAATGCCTTGGCACTTGACAGAGCAGCAGGACTTGGTAAGATCTTTTTCATCAGTTGACATTTGAACAATGTTTTCCACTGATGAGCCTTGATGAGACCCAGTTAGCAGGCTTTCAAATAGGAAGCCATCCATCTGGGTCAATTAGTTAGGGCTCCTTGTACCAGTAAACAAAATGTTTTGGCAGCAGAAGTCATCAGAACTTTGTAATCCTTGCACATGGTATTATGTAGGATTGGGTGTTCTCCCATTGCGGCTGACCACTGGAAGTAATTGATAGTCTTATAGACCTCCTGTTAACACTCTGGGAAAAGTTTCAGTTTTATGCTTGCTTTAGACTGCATAACGGCTATGGACAGTTGACTGACCACAGTAGTCTGGTTTGTGCATAGATCATGCTGAACTCAACACTGCAGAATTGCATATTGATATTTTAGTTTCCCACTGATTCTAGATGATGTGAGCGAGAGTACTGACAAATTAGTAGGTCTTTGCCAGGCTGCCTCACAAAATATCCCCAATTACCATAGGAACTTTGCAAATTTAAAGCATTTAAGAAAACTTTAAATTGCTGAGAGACTCCTATTATCCCTTGTACATGAGCATACTGGAAAAGTACATATAATCACTAATTTTCATGTGACTATTTCACTGAAATATTTACTAAATGTTCCCCTCTGGTAGGGGAGAAAGATCTATTCTTGTCCTGATAACTTTTCCACATGTGGGCCTGATAATAGGGTAGCTTTTATTTCATTTTTTTTTAAAGATTTTATTTATTTATTTGACAGAGAGTGAGAGAGGGAACACAAGCAGGAGCAGAGGCAGAGGGAGAAGGAGGCTTCCCGCTGAGCAAGGAGCCCGACGTGGGGCTCGATCCCAGGACCCTGGGATCATGTCCTGAGCCAAAGGCAGATGCTTAACGACTGAGCCACCCAAGCACCCCTAGGGTAGCTTTTAAAATATGTTGAGCAGGGGCGCCTGGGTGGCTCAGTCATTGAGTGTCTGCCTTCGGCTCGGGTCGTGGTCCCAGGGTCCTGGGATCGAGCCCCGCATTGGGCTCCCTGCTCAGCGGGGAGCCTGCTTCTCCCTCTCCCACTCTGCCTGCTTGTGTTCCCTCTCTCACTGTGTCTCTCTCTGTCAAATAAATAAATTTTAAAAAAATCTTTAAAAAAAAGTATGTTGAGCAAATAAGGGAAAAAAACAATAATCTTGGGCATACGAGTAACACCTCGTGCCCAGAAGAATTTTTTTTTTTTAAGATTCTTTATTTATTCATTAGAGAGCACGGAAGGGGGCAGGGGCAGGATCGGGAGAAGCAGGCTCCCCACTGAGGAGGGACTAGGGGCTCAGTCCCAGGATCCCAGGATCATGATCTGAGCCAAAGGCAGATGCTTAATCAACTGAGCCACTCAGGCACCCTACTTTGTCATTTTAATCTTTTTTCCCCTTCCTTTTTGGGGTGTTTCTCAAATTGTCATTGATTTTCTTTATTGCTTGAAATATGGATTTCAGTTTTCTCTTGTTTTTTTTTTTTTTTAAATCTGTTGCACTCTTCTTTATCTTAAACCTGCTCCCTTTCTCAGTCTGATCTCCACTTAGGATGTGCTCTTCTTTCACAGAATTTGCATCTTTTTATGTATGTTTAAAATGTAAAGCAAGCCATTCTAAACATTTTCCTCTGTTTCCCCATTTTCTCTTTTTCATAAATGTATTTTCTGTCCCTTAGTTAAGCTTTAATATTTTATCCACAGGCCCCCATAATATTGGACTCTTTTTCCTTCTAGAAGAGCTCTGTCCAAACCCAATGTTTCCCTTGTTTCTCTGCCTTCTTGGCTGCTGGTATAATCTCCCTTTGTATCACTCTATTCTGGCTGCTATAACCAAATGCCACTGACTGGGTGGCTTAAACAGAAATCTATTTCTCATAGTTCTGGAGCCTGGAAGTTCAAGATCAGGGTGCCAGTGGGGTGCATTTCTGGTGAGGCTTCTCTCTCAAGCTTGTGGGTAAGCCCCTTCTCACGGTGTCTTCACATGCCTTTTTTGTGTGTGCGCATTCCTGGTGCCTCTCTCCTTACATGGACACCGGTCCTGTTGGATCAGGAGGCCCCTCTTATGACCTCATTTAACCTTAACTGTCTCCTTAAAGGCCTTGTCTCCAAATACAGTCATATTGGGAGTTTAGGCTTCAACATATGAATTTTGGGGAATGCACAGTTCAGTCCGTAACACCTTTTCAGGGCAAGTTGAGGTTTTCAGCCTTAGGCTGTGTCCTAAGTCATCCACTGAGGTCTAATTCTGGACTAAGGAAGGAGCTTCTCTTTCCTATGTACACCCTTATTTTGATGAAGAGAACCAATTCCGGAGGGACTGAGTTGATAAGTGCTTGATTCAAAGAAGTAACTAGAGCAACTCCAAGTTCCTGGAACTCCTCTTTTTGAGAGCTGGTATCAGGCCCAGCCTTCTCCCAGCCCAAGCTGTCTCTAAATAGGAGTCTCTAAGAATGTGGGCTCTACATGCACTTCTTCCTTTCTTCTTCTGCTTCCCTTCTTTATTTTTAGAAACTATATTATTTCTGATTCTCTTCTTGTTTTTACTCTTAAGGACTGGGTTCCTTAAGAGTAAAACATGAACTTAAACATGAATTGACTCCTGACTCCCATGAATAGGTGAGCTCTTACTGTAGGAATCACAGCTTTTGCTCCTGCCCATTTGTTTCAGAAGTCAGAGTGCAAGGACACAGCATCCTTCAGTGCACCTTCCATGTTGTAGTTGGAGGAAAGTCCTCCTAGCTTAAAATAAGAGTATCATTAAAAAAAAATTTTTTAGGGGGCCCCTGGGTGGCTCCGTCAGTTAAGCGTCTGACTCTTGATTTCAGCTCAGGTCATGATATCAGGCTCATGGGATCAAGCCCCTCAGTGGGGAGTCTGCTTAAGGATTTTCTCTCTCCCCCTGTCCCATGTGCACACTCTTGCTCTCTCTCAAATAATCTTTAAAAAATATTTTTGGTGTGTTCATATGTATTTTCATAGGGAACTGGGGAGGTGGGGATGAAAGAGGCAGGCCTCCTAGCCCTCCCTTCTTGATGTTCTATCAGAGCCTTGTGCTAGTTAAAGAGCTCACTCCATGTAGGGAAGTTGGGCTTCAGAATGGGTCACAATGCCTGGGAGACAACACCCTTTGGCTGGGTGAATGGTGCTCATCGCTCTTCTCTGAGGAGGGTCATCTCTTCTTCTGTGCTGTTTTCCAGCTTGGAATCCTGCGACCTAACTACAGTTTGCTATCTAAATATCTCTAAGGCTCTCGTCAGAAGCCAGAGCCTGAGATTTCTGAATTCGTCGACCAATCACCTATTGGATTATGGGATCAAGCTGTTGTGTGAGGCCTTAGGACATCCCAAGTGTCACCTAGATAGTCTCTAGGTGAGGGGTAGGAAGCCTGTCTCTATTTTCCCTGGGGTCCTTTTGTGCAGTCTTGTGTGGCTTAGTGAAGAGCTGAAAGGGCAAACAGCTTGGGCCTTGACACCACTTGGCTCATTTGTTAAGCCTGGATGAACTCTACATGAAGGCCGCCTTTGCTTCCTCTTTTATTTGACTTTTAAATGCTGCTTTTCTTCATGACTGCTTATTTTTACTATTTTCCTTCTTCTCCCCTCCCCTGTACATAGTTGCAGTGGCATCTGTAATTTCAGTAGGTTGGAAAAGTTTGATTGTATGGGAGAGGTGTAGGGGCTGTAAGTACCAGCTAGTGTCCCTGCAAAGGGGAAGAGAAACAGGAACTTTGGGATTTGACTGATCCCTTCTTGTCTGTTTCTCCTTCAGCCTAGAAAGCTGTGGCTTCACAGTAGCTGGTTGTGAGGCTCTTTCTTTGGCTCTCATCAGCAACAAAATTTGACACACTTGTGCTTGGTGGACAACATCCTGGGAGATGATAGAGTAAAGCTTGTGAGTGATGCTTTGAAAAATCCACAGTGCAATCTCCAGAGCCTCGTGGAAGAGTCTACTAGTTTTCACCCTTCCGATGTATATTACATTTTTAAATATATCTTATTTTTTTTTAAGATTTTATTTATTTGAGAGACAGCACGAGCAGGGGGACGGGCAGAAGGAGAGGGAGGCAGACTCCCCACTGAGCGGGGGAGCCTGATTCAGGGCTCCATCAGGACCCGGAGATCATGACCTGAGTGAAAGACAGGCACTTAACTCACTGAGCCACCCAGGCACCCCCTAGCCACACTTTAAGTATTTGTGGAGGGACATTTCTATCACTGCAGAAAGTTCTTTGGGACAGTGCTATGTGAGATCTGACAGGAGGGGGAATTCAGTACTTTACAAATCAGAACACAACAGCAGTTCAACTGAAAGGTCTCACATTTATTACTGAACCAACTTACTGGGATAGAGGCATAGTAACAGAGAAAAATCATTTCCCTGATAAAACGTGTATTGGCCAGGTAGGAGGGATGTTTACAGAGTGATAGAATAGGAACACGTGGGGGAGAAAAAGGGACATGTGATCTTCATGCAGCTTAAACACGTGTGCCATCTCATGAAGTGTGATGCCTTACAGACCCAGCTTGGTTCTTCTCCAGTGACGCCTCTTGGAGTTGTACCTAATTTTATTACCGGTTTTCATCTGAATCCACTGGGGAATGGGACGATTCTGCTTTTGTTTCTTGGCCAGGAATCTCTTGATTCTGAAAGTCTTGTGAGAAGACATGGCGAGGAACGGTCAACCACACACCAGGATGACAGCGAAAAGGAGAAAAAAGCTGAAATATATTTTAAAAGGGAGAATGTTATGAACATATTCTGTCCCTTGCTTTTTCCCTTCTGTTATCCACTAATGGTAATGAAGATGACAAGGATGATGGTATTAATAACTGCCATTTATTCTGTCCTTACTCTGTGCTGGGCCCTATGCTAAATTGGTTTAATCTGTACAAAAGTACCTGTTGGTGTCAAATTGGCCACCTGAGTTCTAAGTGCCTTATTGGACAGGTAGGAAATGTGAGGCTTAGAAAGATTATGTTGCTTGCCTAATGCTCATAAGAAGATCATGGATTCAGGACTAAAGTCTGCCTGTCCAGCTCCATATTCTGGGCTTAGAACAGGTAAATACATATGAACACCATTAAACAGAACTGTAGCGTCCCATGGTATGGCTGGATCAGTGATTATTTTCTTCATTGCTCTTAGAGAATTTTAGACATGGAATTGATAAGCCAAAATTTTTATCTTATCAGATGTGGTTAAATTTTCTCCAGATTGTTCATATTTCCTCGGCAGTCTAGAGGCCTGTATTTTAACATCTTCACTGGGTATCTACTATTTTTTTTTATCAGTGTTATTTAGATAATTGAAAATAACTAAAAATAATTTGATTTTGAGCATCTTTTCAAATGTTTTTGGCCTTTAGTATTCTAGGAATTGCCTCTTCATAGGCTCAATTTTCCTCTGGATGTTTTCTGTTATGTATGTTATATACTATGGTTATTAATAGTAAATATACATTATAACCATTATTTTTTATATATTGTAAATAATTTACCTAGCATGTTGCTGTATTCCTAGCTTATCATTTTTAGAGTACAGAAGTTTAAAATTTTTGTGAAGTCAAATTATCTTCCTCCTCATGACTTCTCAAAGTTTTGTCGTAATTGAAAATATCTTTCTTTAAAAAAACACTGTCATACACTTTATGGTTTAATTTTTGAAATATTAAATTATTCCTAATTTGTTATAAGGTTTAACTTCCCCCATATGTCAGGTCTGCCTTCCCAATTTATTTATGGTATAACAGATCTTTTCCCTACTGACTGTATGTACAAAAAGTACTTTATTGTGATTACTCTCATTCTGTTCCATATGCCTGCTCTTCTGCTCTATGTAGCTACTTCTGCAATAGGGCACTGTATTTATGCACAGTTTAAAGAGGTAAACATTTCATTTATAGTAAGAAACATTCTGAAGAACAGGGGTCCAGTTTGTGCAATTTGGTGCAAACCTAAGTATCCCAAGTGAGACCGGCAAAGAGGTAATAAGGGAAGTGGGTATTTGATAAGTCTTGGCAAATAGATATAAGGGACCAGAGCATGAAATCTTCTCAAAGATAAAAACCTCTGGGCAGTAAAGCAGTGATTCCATCTTTGCTCACACTGTCCTTCCTATAGGCTGAGGAATTGCCACTTCACTTCCCTTAGCGGTGAACATCTCTCATCTGCTCTCCTGCGCAACAGGAGCCTGACACATCTGGATCTGGGGTCAAACTGGCTGCAAGATGATGGAGTAAAGCTTCTGTGCGATGCCTTTCAGCATCCAAGCTGTCACTTTCAGGACCTGGAGTAGGTTTTCTGTGACCTTCCTTTGGGTACTTTCACTACTGTGAGGGCAGGGGAGATGAGCAAAGAAGGGATGAGCTGAGTGTCAGAAAAAAAGAATAAACAGCTGATTCCCTCTCTCTCCCCTTGCCTGAGACAAGCTGGGGAAGTATGTTCATCAGATTTTTCTTAAACAGCTACTACAGTAATTCAACCTCCCTCAGGGAAGGAGGACCAGAGACAACAGACTGAACAGCAGCCATTTTATGTATTTTTTTGGTTGTACCCCCAATGAGTCTACTGTGTGTCTTCTGCCTTACATCCATGAGGCAGAAATTGTGCTCTATTAGTTGTTCTTTCTTCGGTTCAGGTGTATAACTAGGTCAGCTTCTAAAGAAACTAGGAAGGGAATTTTTTTTTTCTTCTGGAGAGAGTATGCAGGCACGAGTGGCGTGGCCGGGGCAGAGGCTGAGAATCTCAAGCAGACTGCATGCCCTGCAAGAAGCCATATGTGGGGCTCCATCTCATGACCCTGAGATTGTGACCTGAGCAGAAATCAAGAGTTGAATGTTTAATAGACTAAGCCACCCAGGCACCCACTAGGAGGAGAATTTTTTAAAAATACCAACAAGTCAGTCATCATTAAACAACTGCTTTTATTCTTATTATGTTCTCTCTTATTCTGTGGGTGGGTATACACACATAGGTGGTATGTGTATATGTAATTATGATTACTGTATAGATAGGACTTTGGGGTTTCCTTTACATAAGACAGTATTTCAGAATCATTGAAATACTTACAGTTCTCTTATTGGATATTGAATATATTCAATATATATCAGTATCCTACTGAATATATATTCAATATCCTATTGAAAAATGGATGCACTATATTTAGTATTTAATATTTCATTATGTGAATACTGTGGCTAGAGTGAAGCAACATAGAGGTGTCACTTAGTGATCTCAACTCACTTTCCCACCAGGGCCTCCCATGGGACTAGTCACCTAGGTGAGTCACTAAGGGTCTAACCTCCAGCACTGTTTTTTTTTTTTTTAGAACAATAAACTCTAGATGGTTAGTATATCCAGAGGTGTTTGCCTTGACTGGACTGACTCAGGATAACCAAATTTCCACAAGAGTTTAATAGTTGGTTTTTTTTCCAAGTTTTTTTATTTATTTCACAGAGATGGACACAGTGAGAGAGGGAACACAAGCAGGGGTGAGGGAGAAGCAGGCCTCCCGCAGAGCAGGGAGCCCAATGCAGGGCTCGATCCCAGGACCCCGGGATCATGACCTGAGCCAAAGGCAGTCGTTCAACAACTGAGCCACACAGGTGCCCCTAATAGTTGATTGTTACATTGGCAAACACCAAGGTGATTGAACCCTTGGGTCCAATAAGTACCTGTACTTTCTTTAGGAAAACATATACAATGTGATTCTCTGAAGTTTCCTTGATTTATTATTCAACTGGAAGACAAAATTTTACTTTATGGAAATTATCGTTAAATCCAATACCTTTATTTTAACCACAATTTCTAAGTGACCTATACACACAAGATGTTTGCTTAGTTCACTTTCTCTCCTTACCAATCCTGTAAACACATAGACAAATCTGTGCTCTCAGCTACCTTCATAGCCTCCTCCATGCAGGCCATGCCAATTCTCCCAACTAAAATTTACAACAAATATAAGCTACATTCTGAGGGCATTAAAGATTATTCTAAGGTGCTGCACTTACCCTTCGGTAACTCATCAAATGCTGATGGCAGGGAAATAAATGCAAAGCCAATTATAACATAGTCCACGTATTATTATAAGATAAAAGCCCCAAGGAGCAAGGAGTGGGACAGAGGGGACTGAGTTACCTTAGCCTTGAAAGATGAAGAGGATTTTGTTGGGTGCAGAGATCGTTGGCAGAAGGTAGGAAGAGAGAAGGGACATGAAGATAGATGTGGCAGATTTGGAAAAAAAAAGATGGGTATGCTTGATGAATAGGATGGGGATGAAATATGGAAAGTGAACACTGGAGGGCAGATTGTGAATGCTCTTGAATGCTCTACAGAGGACTGAAGAAAATATCTTCATATATGTAGTCTGCTGCTTCTTGGAAAACAGCACTTTAGGATAGATTCCTGGAAATTTTTTTTATTTCAAAAATATATTAGAAACTGAAAGCACAGAGATCTGTGGGTTCCTTGGGTAAACTTCTATCCATTTTTTTTTTCTTTTTAGTTTTGACAGAAAAAAGTGTTTATACCCTTGATTTGGGAAGCTTGGTGGATAATAACGAATTTGTGGGAGAAAGCAGCTTTACCCACTGTTTTTGGTTTTTTTTCCTGCTCATTAAGAAATCCCATTTGTTTCTGCTGGTTATTAGACATTCCTCTGTGCGTCCTGGACTGTGGAGAGAAAAGGGTCAGGAAAAAGGCTCAAATACCTCGGCTTTTCTCCTAGGAATAAATTAATGAAGCTTCACAACTGAAGGTCTCACCTCTTTTGTACTTCTTGCAGACTGATGGGCTGTTCTTACTAGTACGTGTTGTCTGGATCTGGCTTCTGCTATTCTGAACAACTCATACCTGCAGAGCCTAGACCTTGGATACCTACAGGATGATGGAGTAAAAATTCTGTATGAGGCTTTGAGACATCCAAACTGCAATATTCAGAGGCCTGGGTGAGTTCAGTTTTCCATCAGGAAAATGATACCTATTTGGTGGCTCGTGTGGCTAGAAGAAATTTAGTACATGAGAGAGGATGATAAATGGGAGAGAAAGTAAGTTACTCTCAGAAATGAGAATCTGAATTTCAAATATATGGATCAATGTGTATTATGTGCTGTTAGTATTGAAGCCATATTTCACATTTCTTTGTGTCCTCCTTAGTGCCTTGGACAGAGTAGGTATTAAGTAAATGGTACTTGCTTTAAGGTATTCCATGTTCTATCATTCTTCAGCTATTCTGTCTTTGAATTTTTCTAATTAAAGTGAAGATCTTGGGGCACACCTAGGTGGCTCAGTTGGTTAAGTGCCAGACTCTTGATTTCAGCTCAGGTCAGGATCTCAGGGTCGTGAGACTGAGCTCCAAGTAAGGCTCCACACCGGGTGTGGAGCCTGCTTCAGATTCTCTCTCTCAATCTCTCCCTCTGCCCCGCCTCCCCCACCCCAGCTTGTGCTAGATCTCTCACACATGCGCTTTTTCACAAAAACAAAACAAAATAATTGGCAAAATCTTATCTGGAAAAATGCTATCCTTTTTTTTTTTTAAGATTTTATTTATCTTGGAGAGAATGAGCAGGGGGTGGGGCAGAGGCAGACTGAGAGCGAGAGAGAGAAAGAGAGAGAGAGAAGAGGGAGAGAATCCCAAGCCGACTCCATGCATTGAGCCTGATGCAGGGCTTGAGCTCACAACCCTGAGATCATGACCTGAGCTGAAACCAAGAGTTGGATACTTAACCCACTGAGTCACATAGGCACCCTGCTATTTATGCTCTTAAGGAGCCTGTGGTCTAATAAAACCTTATCCTATGTTTTGAGTACTTTTTATGTTCAATCATAGATTGTTTAGTTTTTTTTTTTTTTTTTTAATCTTGAACGGATATTGGCTAGTACATTTTTACTTATATAGCATGAATTACTGACATCTGGGTCAAGATTTTTGCTCCATATGTGGGAAACCCAAATATTAGATGTCTCCCTGACTCTTATAAGACAGTGCTGCTTTACCTATGTATCCATTGACTGTTTATATATTTTTATCACAATAATGATACTATAACTATTGGGTCTGGAATTTAATTTTATCCTGCATTATAACCTAGTAAGTTAGCCTATCAGTATTTCCTGGATACTGGCAGGAAACAGAGAATCCCATCAGAGACCGAGGACTTTATTACTCCTAGCATCACAGCATAAGCACTACTGTTTCTGTGCCCATTTCCTTTGTCCCCCAAGTCCCACAGGATGGATGTGGACAGCTCGGATGGACACCCGCACATGGTGGTGGGTTGCATCCTAGGAGAGAAACATGGAGCTTGGGAGACCCACCATTTTATAGCAGGCACTAAGCAAGCCTGCTCTTTGTCCTGGAGGGAGACATTACCTCATCCCTCAAGGCTGCTTACTGCACACACACCCTAGGAAATGGCCCAGGTGAAGAGTTGTCAGGGCCTTGCATTTTTGTCAATGAAATATGTAAGAGAGCAAAATACTCTCTGTAATATTCATCCCTTTTCTCTGCACAGTACAGTCTTGGTTAATTTTCACATGGATATGCCCTTCCACTGGCCACTCTCATTAATCTGACCAACAGAAGCTGGGGCCAAATCTGTTCAATTTGTCTCCTACACAGTTTAATTAGGGCCACCATCATTAGGACTCCAAGTGCAGGATGAGGTCAAATTGCAGTGTTGATTTCAGCTATGCCCTCAGCATCCTGGATTCAGCCAACTGAATGAGACCCAGTGAGGACGAATAGATTTTGTTATCGATTACAACTCATGAAAGGGGGTTTAGATTGACCTGCTGATCTTGGTATCGTTGGTAATAAAGGGAGCAAAAGGGGCACCTGGGTGGCTCAGTCGTTAAACGTCTGCCTTCGGCTCAGGTCATGATCCCAGTGTCCTGGGATTGAGCCCCTCATTGGGCTCCCTGCTCAGCGAGAAGCCTGCTTCTCCCTCTCCCACTCCCCCTGCTTGTGTTCCTGCTCTCGCTGTCTGTCAAATAAATAAAATCTTAAAAAAAATAAAGGGAGCAAAAAACTGGACCAAACCAGTCCCATCCTCAATAAAGAGAATTCAGGGGTCCATACCTCCACATATAACAAACAGCTCACTCCAGTGTGGGATGTGTTGTTCTACTGATTTGGGTCACCATTACAGTGGTTTGGTCATGTCAGGTAGGTGGGCAGTGTCACTAGTTAGTTACAGATGACTTGTTAGCCATACATGGCATAACTCAGAGCTGTACTGGCATCAGGAGAAGCTTATGAGTTTGTATCAGTCAGACTGAAACAAGGTTGTACTGGTTGTGTTTGTACACATGTGACAGGGGTCCAGGTTTGGGGGCTGCCAATGATGACATCAGGCACAGCAGAATAGTTAGGACCTGCCATGTCCACTTGAGATTTTGCATTTTCAAAAGGCATGTGGACAAACTTGGCAGTGGATCAGGTTGCCAGCTGCAGCTCTACTGAAGCAGACCACCTGATTTTGCCAGGCAGCAGTGTTGGGTCTAGGGAAGGAAAAGAAGTCATTAATTGTTCTTCCTACTCCCTGCACCTTCCGGGTTCTGAGATGTTCCTTCCCCAGGTGCTGGTGTCACTGCTCTTCCCCACAGTCGTGAAATCAGTGTGTCCCATTCCCATTGCCTTTAACTTGGCTTTTTCTCCAATCACCTCTAAAGATCTGCCTATGTTCATCTGTTTTGTTTCTTAAATTCCACATATGAGTAAAATCCTACAGTATTCATCTGTCTTTGACTGATTTATTTCCCTTAGCATACATAATACTCTCTAGCTCCATTCATTGTTGCAAATGGCAAGATTTCATTTTGATGGCTAAATAATATTCTGGTGTGTGTGTTACACACACACACACACACACACACACACACACACACACACACACACACACCACACCACATCTTCATTATCCATTCATCAGTTGATGGACATTTGGGCTCTTTCCATAATTTCACTATTGTTGATAATGCTGCCATAAACACCGGGGTGCATGTATCCCTTTGAATCAGTATTTTGGTGTCCTTTGAGTAAATACCTAGTAGTGCAATTGCTGGATTGTGAGATTAAAAAAAAAGAGAGAAGGGCAAACGTAAAACAACTCTTAATGACAGAGAATAAACCCAGGGTTGATGGAGGGAAGTGGGTGGGGGATGGGCTAGATGGGTGATGGATATTAGGAGGGCACTTGTGATGAGCACTAGGTGTTGTATGTAGGTGATGAATCACTAAATTCTACACCTGAAACAAGTATTATGCTGTATGTTAACTGAAATTTAAATAAAAAAGAAAAAAGAATGTTTATACACAGAAAAAAAATATCTGCCAAGTTCATATTTTAAACATTTTCACTATGAAATATAAAATGCATACAAACAAGCAAATAAAACTGTTTTAAAAAAATGTGCATAACCTCATCCAGGTCAGTAAATTGAATTTGCCCAGGAAACTAAATTCCCTTACTCCTCCCTTATAAATTGCATCTTCCCTCCTCCCTAAGAAGTAACCATTATCCTGAGTTTTGTGGCCATTATTTATTTATCTGTACAGTGCCTGTGAGTGTATATAGTCCTAAGCAGTATATTGTTGAATTTTGCCAGGTTTTGCATTTTATATACAGGGAATCGTACTCTATATTCTTTTGTTATGATTTTTTTTTTTTGCTTGTTGTCATCCAGTTGTTTCATGTAGTTGTAGTTAGTTCATTTTTATAGCAGTTAAGTATTCCAGTGAATGACCATACCATAAACTATGTAACCAATTCTATTATAGGTGGACTTTTGTGTTGTTTTCCTTTATTTTATGACCAGTGCTGCTGATGAATATTTCAGTAATGAATTCTGAGGCACATACGTATATATTTGTCTAGGGTAAATAGGGGTGGATTTGTTACATCATGGGGAAAAGGTCTTTAAATTGATCAGATATTGTCAAAAAGATGGTACTAATTTATTCTGCCCCTGGTAACATATGATAGTTCCTGTTCTCTATTCTTGCCGTTTTGTCTGACTTTATTTTTAAAGTTTTAGTGAATCAGGTGTGTTTTGGCATCTCATTGTGGTTTTGATTTATATGTGTTTTGTTAAAGAGGTTCAACACCTTTTCAGGTGCTTAATAGCCATTTGGATTTCCTCTTTTGTCAAATTCCTCTTTCACTTATTTTGTTCATTTTTCCATTCAGTGAGCCATTTTTGCCCTTACTGATTTGTAGGGTTTTTTTTTTCCTTCAATATATTCTGGTTAGGGCGCCTGGGTGGCTCAGTTGGTTAGGCAACTGCCTTTGGCTTGGGTCATGATTCTGGAGTCCTGGGATCGAGTCCTGCGTCGGGCTCCCCACTCAGTGGGGAGTCTGCTTCTCCCTCTGACCGTCTTCCCTCTTGTGCTCTCTCTCATTCTCTCTCTCTCTCTCAAATAAATAAATAAAATCTTTAAAAATATATATTCTGGTTATAAGCCCTTGTCACTTATATATGTGACAATAACTTGGGCTTTTCTTTCCACTCTTTATGGTGCCTTTTATGGAACTGAAGAACTTAATTGTAACATCAGATTATTCTTTGATTGTTAGTGCTTTTTGTAATTGTTCAGGACATTCTTCCTGACACTGGGATTACAAAGACATTCTACTATTTTCTAAATGTAAAAGGCAACTTATGAAGCATTTGAGACTTTAAAATATGGTTGGAGGTCAGTCCAATTTAATATTTTTCCTATGCGCATACTCTTCTGGCAAAATTTATTGACTCTCTTTCTTTCCTCACTGTTTGGCAGGGCCACCTTTGTTATAAATCAAGTCTTCACTGGTGCATGGGTCTTTTGCTGGGTTCTCCCTTTGCATTTCCAAACAAAATTTTAAATATCGGCTTACCAAGTTACACAGACTGCACATGAACCTCCCCATGTACCCATACCTACCCATATGCTGGCACTCTGATTGGAATTGCATTGAATCTATCAATTATGATAGATCCTTGTTTACTTAGCTCTATCAATAAAGCTTAGTAATTTTTCCTGTAGTGGCCCTCTATTTTGCTGTTTAACTTTATTTCTAAGTACTTGCTATATTGCAATACTATTTGGAAATGGGTATTTTTTTTTTAAGATTTAATTTATTTGACAAAAGAGAGCACAAGCAGGGGGAGTGGCAAGCAGAGGGAGAGGGAGAAGCAGGCTCCCCACTGAGCAAGAAGCCCTATGTGGGGCTCTATCCCAGGACCCTACGACCCATGACCTGAGATGAAGGCAGACACTTAAACCACTGAGCCACCCAGGTGCCCCGGAAATGGGTATTTTTGTTATTTTTTCGTTTTATTTATTCCTTATACATAGAAACACAGTTGGGTTTTGTATATTAATTTAACATCCAGTAGCCTATCACATCCTCTAGTTCATTATAATTGCTTATTCATATTTGTTTGGATTTTCTAGGTACAGAGTCCTCTCTTTTGGGAATGAGTTTTTTTTTTTCTTTTCTATTTTTATTGCCTTAGTATCTTGTAAGACATGACAGAACGTTAATACATCTGGAGATAGTGGGCTTTCCTGTGTTATTTTCAACGTCAAAAGCAAAATTTGTCAAAAGCAAAATTTCAGTGTTTCTCTTATTTATTAATTTAAAAAGGTTCCTATCTTTAGTTTGCTAAGAATTTGTTATTTTCTTTCTAAATTATGAATACATGTTGAGCTTTATGAAATGTGCCAAATGTGGTCAATCACATTGATTTTTATTATATATATTAGATCTTTTTGGGGGCTCAAAACCAACTTGGTCATGATATTTCTTATATATATTGTGCACTTTATTTGTTGATATGACTATTTTAACATCTTTGTTTATAATGGAGATTAGGTTATAATTTTCTTGTGCAGCCTCCATCAAGTTTTGGTATCCAGATTACCGTATTTTCAAAAAATGAGTTCGGGAGTGATCCTTCTTTCTTTTTCCTGAGAGGGTTTGTGTAAGATTAGAATTATTTCTTCCTTGAACTTTGTAGAAATTTCTGGTGAAGCTATATGATCCGGAATTTCCTTTATGTGGAGATTTGACTTCTGATTCAATTTTTAAAATAATCATACATTTATGTAAGTATTCTCTTACTGAGTAATTTTTGGTAAGATTATTCCCTATGATTTTATCCATTTCATCTAAATTTTAAAATCTATTGGCAGGTGTCCAATATATTTTTTTTAACATTTTTACAGTCTTGAGGTCTTTTATTTTCTTTACATTTATCATGCCATGAATTCATAGGGAATGGGTTCCAGCAGTTTGGGCTCCTTTCCATTAGTTCTCACAAAATGTGCTTCTCTGGGTGGGGCAGGCTGGCGCTTCAGTTGAACCCAAGTACCTTTCTCTTTGGCTTCCTCCTTTTTCTGATCATTTTCCTTCACACGCTTCAGGAAGCTGTCTCCGCTTTTTGAGTGTTTAATATGCTCAATGCGTACATTAATTCTCTTGGCAAGAATCTTGCCCTTAACCTGTTTGTTTACAACAATGCCAACAGCATGCTGAATAAAACTGTAGACTCTTCCAGTTTTGCCATGGTAACATTTGTGGGGCATTCCTTTTTGAACAGTGCCCATTCCCTTGATGTCTACAATATCACCTTTCTCATAGATTCACATGTATGTGGCCAAAGGAACAACTCCCATGTTTTCTAAAAGGTCTAGAGAACATATAGCAGGTACCCCTCCTCTTTCCCTTTGTGTTGGTCATTTTGGCGAATTACTGGAAGATGGCGGTTCCGGCCGAAAGAGGTGTCTGATATTTTATTGTTTGCTCAGCTTCTGATCATCTCCAGTGATTTAGGCATCTGGTGATGTCTCTTTTCCCGATATTGGCAGTTTGAGCTTTTTCTCATTTTACTTTTCAAAGAACACAACATTGATCTTCTCTATGTATACTTTTTATTTCCTTAATTATTATTTTATCTTATTTCTCCTTTTGAGTTTATCTTATTCTTTTTTTTTAAGATTTTTTGCTTATTTATCAGAGAGCGTGCATGCGCACGCGTGCTCGAGAGCACAAGCGGGGGAAGTGGCAGGCGGAGGGAGAACCAGACTCCCCACTGAGCAAGGAGCCTGATGCAGGACTTGATCCCAGGACCCCGGGATCATGACCCAAGCCAAAGGCAGAGGATTAACTGACTGAGCCACCCAGGCATCCTTATTTTACTGTTCTTAAATTCTTGAGCTGGATGCTTGGCTCATAAATATTTCCTCCTTTTCCAACACTTAAGGGTGTGACTTTTCCTTCAAATTATTGCATTAACTCCATGCTATAATTGATACTGTATGTAGCATTTATTTTTGAGGCTAAAATATTTAACTTCCCTTATGATTTTTTTCTTCAACCCATTGGTTATTTTAAAGTGTATTCCTTAATTTGTAGACATAAGAGGGGTTTCTTGTCATCTTTTTATATTTAATCTCTAGCACTGTGGTCTGAGAACATACTGTACATGATTACAGTTCTTTGAAATCTGTTATTTGCTTCATGACCCAGTATGTAATCTGTTTTTATACATGTACCATAATGCACTTAAAATGAAGAGTTGTTGGTTGCCATATTTTATATGAGTTAATTAAGATTAATTCTGTTATTCAAATCATATATTTTTAGTGATTTTTTTTCCAGATAATTCAATCAATTGCTGTGAAAAGTATGTTAAAATCTCCATTATAATTGTAGAGTTGTGTCCTTCACTTTGTAGTTCTGTTAGTTTTAGTTTTCTTATTTTGAGACCAGTTTTAGTGACTACAAACTTAGAATGATTGTTTCCTGATGAATCCTTGAAACCTTTTATGTCTCATAGTGCTTTTTACCCTATGGTTTATTTTGTGTGATATTTATCTTGTGTCATAAATAGTGGGAGTTGCTCTACCACATTAATGCCAGTTCCATGTAGGCAATAACTTAGTTTTTTTTTTATACTCAGCACCTATATAGGCACTCAGTTGTTGAATGGCTTGGTAAACATAGGTGCAAATTAAATTAAAATTAGTTGGTTGGGGACATCATCAGGCGTATAAGGTTGAGTTTAACATAATTCCTCAGTTCATGGTATTATTATATTATCATTGGTTTATGCAAGGGTCCTCTAATGATTATTGGTTGGTTAATTAGTTAATTTATCTCCTTTAACTGTTCTCCTTCCCTTGTATAGGCATCTGGCCTAGTGTGTTTGAAATATTGTATCCTTGTAAAAGATATAATGTTTTTTGGTGTATGCATTTTTATTTGCATAAATGGCGTGGTGCTAAGAGACCTCACTATATACTTTGCTTTTGAAATACTCAGTATCATATTTCAAAAGTCTACTTACGTATCTATATTTTTAATGATCAAAGATTCAACTGCCTCAGCTTTTCTTAGTGTGCTTTCCTATTTATTTCTTGAACTATAATTATGAACTTGCAATTCATGATTTAGGAAGGAATATATTCAGTCTATAAATATCTAGTAATAATGAATATTATAAGTACTTACATTCTTTGAATTTACCCTAATTGTGCTCCCCCCATTTTTTTTTTTTTTTTTAAGGTTCTGGACTCATCCTACACTCCCAGCTCACAGATCTCTTACGTGCTTGCTCTCTGGGGTAAAATTAATTTTATCTTTAGTCTCTCTTCCCTTCAGGTTGGAATACTGTGGTTTGACCTCCCTGTGTTGTCAGGATCTCTCCTCTACTCTTAGAAACAACCAAAACCTGATAAAAATAAACCTGAGACAGAATTTAGGGCATGAAGGAATGATGAAGTTATGTGAAAGCCTGAGGTCTCCTGAATGTAAACTGAAAGTTCTAGGGTAAGTCTTCATTGGCTTCTCAAGGCCAAAGTTTCTTGTAACAAGGGGTTTGGGGAAGCCGCTTGTTTACTGCAGGCCTAAGGATCAACCTGATTGTGGATCCCTGCATGTTTTTGAGGCCCTTATTTGTTTTTCTCCCATAGGACACTGAATTTTGACAGACCTGTAGCAAAGTGGTAACAGCTGAGAACTCTAAAGCCAGACTACCTGAGTTTGAAATCTAGCTGGAACTTACTAGATATTTGAACTTACACTAATCTCCAATCTCTGTGTTTTGGTTTCCTTATCTATAAATGGGTGAAATGATAATATCTACAATGGTTTATTATGAGGATTGATCAGTTGATCAGTAAGGCAGTACAGGTGTCCTCCTATGTGAAGGTAGAGTGTTCCTATGAAACCTTTCATAAGACAAAATGGTGTAAATCAGAGAAGCAATTACCATTAATTTAAATGGAAATTTTTTTGAGCACTCCTGGACCCCAAAAATAACCTCTTTTAGGCTTTTCTGATACCTTAGGACCTATGCAAAAAATAAGTTGATAGAAAGCACAGATAGCCACAGACACAGTTCCAAGCTGTGGTGGCCTGGTGCTGAGGTGCCCTGTAGGTCCTGGGGAAGGAGCTTGGGCCGCTCTTGCTGCTTGGGTTCCTGCTGCCTCTGTAATGGCTTGCTGCAACCCAAATGCCAAATGCTATTTTTGCTTTTTACCTGTGTATGTGTTAAAACACAAAAATCTTTGGACTTGCTTCAGTTATCAAAAACAGGTGCTGATGCAGTTCTCTCATAAAGGTGAAGTGGTGCAGCCACGACCTTTGGAAAAGCAGAGGTATGATACCTGTATTTAGAACCGTGCATGTAACACCTAACAGTGTTAGTGTTAACTGCTGTCATCATGAGTAGTACTATTGCACTTGAGTAGAAAAAGGCTCTTGGAGGATCCTCTTAAATTTTAATCTATTTCTATTTCTACTCTATAGTCCATTTTCCTTCTTCACCTGCTGCATTCCCTAGTGTATCCCTCACACTTTCCTTGCTCCATTTCCTGTGTTCATTTGTCTCTACTTCAACAGTCTTTCTCTGAGAAACAAATTCTTCAGAGAAATTACAGGACTGTGGGAAAGCTGAGTACAAGAAGAGGTGTTCCCTTGTTTTCTCAGGGTGTGCAAAGAGGTATTTGAGTAAGTCCAGAAGCTGCTGGAAGCTGTGTGAGTTAGCAATCCACACCTTATCATTAAGCATGATTATAATCACAAAGATGAAGATGGTTCCTGGTGGCGGTGTCCCTGATTTGAAGAACCTGGTGTTCTTTTAGTAAGTGAAGTAAAGGCCTCAGAGTGACAAGGCTTGGGGGTCTTAGCTTTAGATGCTTTGTGCCCAGTGTTTGATGTCTGTTAGATGTAGGGGAGTCACTTCTCTGTAAAATGTCTGTTCTACTTCACATGGTGGTTGAGAGACTAAAATAAAATGAAAAACATAAAGCTCTGTGAAAGGTATAACGTGTTTAACTGGATGCAGAGCTTAAGAATTCAGATTTGAGAAGCCTGGAAATGAGACTGGAGGACCAGACCAGGGTAGATTATGTTAGAGCATCTGGTTTCCTTTCTTTCCCTCACACGGATGGCTAACTTCACAGCCTCACCAGTTCTGGCATGTTTGACTGAATACTTCTGTTTGTGTTCCTGGGACCAGTGGGTCTAAATCACTTGTGTTTTCTTAGAATGCAGATTCTTAATCAGAATATCTGGATGAAGGTTCTAGGAACTGGTATTTTAAATTATTTCCCAGGCAACTTTTAGATACGTTACTATTTGAGAATTGCTGGTCTCAATTGAAATGGGAGTCCACTTCCTCAGTGAACATATTCTGTAGCCTGTTGTGAAGATATAAGTAGATATAGGATTATTGGGATTAGAGCTAAAGACATGTTCCTCCATTTGACAGAAAGCTGACACAGTAACATTTTCTGTGAAAGACTATTAAATCATTTCAGAGCATCATTGAGGAAGGTAACTTTACCATTTTCTTTTATAAAGCTTTAAAACTTTGACAGTAGAACCTCAAAAAGATAGCACTATAAGGAAATTTAGTCTTATGTTACTTATGAATATATATGCAAAGACTAAATATAAATATTTGAAAATTCCAAAATTCAATTTAAATATACCATGAATTAGGGGTGTCTGGCTGGCTCAGTTGATAAGAGCATGTGACTCTTGATCTCACGGTGGTGAGTTTGAGTCCCACATTAGGTGTAGAGATAAATATAAAATCTTAAAAAATATATACTGTGAATATATTATAACTTAGAACAGAAGGATGAGAAGACAAATATTAGGAATGTTATAATTTATGATATCAATCGACTGATGGAGAAAGACTAAATAATCACTTCAGGATATGTTGATGAGGCATTAAATAAAATTTAGTCTTGTTTTTTGGTCAGGTACTTATTTCAAAACATGATAAGGAATTTTTACCTTGCACTATAAAAGGATACTAGAAGCACAGTCATTGAAACTTTGGAAATACACCTGGTGTCACTGCTATCCTATAATCCATGGGCCAGGATTAGGGTGAGGGGAGTGAAGTACTTACAGGAGGCCGGTGGGGGCTGGGGCCAACCTTGTGCAAGTGCAGGGTCAGACATTGTCTTTAAATTTTTTGTATTCGGTTATCATGGATATTTTGCATTAATTTTGACTTACAAAATATTCCACTAAAATGTTTATCTTGATTAGAGTCTTTCCATATGTCCTTAAAGTTGTGCATGACTCAAGTTACTCCCCTCATCCTAAATCCGGCCCTGGAGAAGGAAGGGTTTGCAATTTCAAGTAGTGTAGTTAAGGAGTCACAAAGGACAGTCAAAGAACCAAATAGGGTGATCAAAATAAACCTTAGCTTTGTTGGATCTTTTTTTTCTTTTGATTTTTGACATTTTCTTTTAAATAAATTTATTTTGTAAATTCTTACTTCTGTTACATCTGAATTTGTTCTGTCAGTATGCTAACTTCTTAAGTTAGATTCTTACTGATTTCTAGCCTTTTTATTACACGCATTAAGGTATAAATTTCCCTTAATTTACATTTTAGCTGATTTCCCGTGCTTGAATATGGAGTATTTTCAGTAGCATTCGTGTCCAAATGTTTTCTTACACTGGGATTTTTTTTTTTTCTGTGACCCATGTGTCAAATAGAAGTATTTGTAATTTCCAGACTTAAGGGCTTTTAAAGTTATCTTTGTTATTTTTAACCTAACTGAGTTATAACATGTTCTGTTGGAAAATATTTTTTTGAAATTAGTTAAAACAGACTTTATGGCCTACTGTCTGATCAGTTTTCTATGTGTGCTTGAAAAGCATGTATACTTTCCCATAACTGAGTGCCTGCACATATATATACATGCACACCCCTTAAATCAAGCTTTTTAATTATGCAGTTCAAATCTTCCTGTACTAATTTTTGCTATTTATCAATTATTGAGAATATTTGCTTTAAATCTTCTAACATGATAGAATTTTCTATTTTTTTCCTGTAAAGTTTTGCTTTAGATATTTTGAGGCCATGGTATCCAGTAAATGTGACAGAATTATGTCACAGGCATATTTGAACTTGCCTTTTGTCAGCTTAGCAACCAAGGAGAAAAGATATCTTTTATTATACTGCTTTGGTTTAAAATGTCTTTCAAAGACTCCAATTGGTCCACTATGGATCCAGTGGTGGAGTAAAATATACTTTTCAGGGATTTAAAATCATGGCTCTTAATATAAATGCACCATGAGCACTTGTCAAAGACTTATCAACACGTTAGTAAAGGAACCAGTGAGGTGTTGCTCTAAAAAGCATTTTAAGGAAGAAAGGTTTATATATCCATCAGAAATGGCATTTTTTAAAATAGTCAGAATAACATTTCAAGGTAAGTATAAAACTGGTTAATGTCCAGGGTGCCTGGGTGGCTTAGTTGGTTGGGCCTCTGACTTTGACTCTAGACTCCGTCATATCCCCAGGTACCCGAGTAGAGCTCAGGGGGGGAGTGGGCTTGACCCTCTGTCCCTCCCCCAAATCGTATTCTCTTTCAAAATCTTTAACCACTTTTTTTTTCTTTAAATGTCCTACAAGGTAATAAGTAACCTTTGGGATTATCTTTCAATCCTACAGAAATCATTTGCACTGCTAGCTCACAAAAATTATTTACATTGCTATCAGGTTTCTACAAAATAATCTCTACACCTTTAGTTGTGAATCTCCTGATCAAATAGCAAATTGAGAGTCAACTGTTACATTTTTTAATATGCCTCAGTTTATCTCTTTAAGGCTTATTTGAGAGAAAATCAATTTGAACTATGCAGCATCGAACGAAGTGGCAAGAAGGGCTCCACCTAAAAACAGCGAGGAGAAAGTCTCTTAATAGAGATGTGAAAGCAAAACAAATTATTTGAATGGCGATAGCTTAAATATTATAAGCTTTCTTTGGAAAAGGCTAGTTGGCTATTTGTGATTGGTTGTCCTTAGGTTTCTATTTAACTTTGAGGCATTTACAGGTTTATGTTTTGATCTGCTTAGTGTCATTAGCACGCTATGAAGGCGCACACACGAGTACGCTCTATTCAATCATAAAGCAAAGTTAACATAATTATAAAGGAGGTTCAGGATTCCAAACCCAATGACATTTCACCATGTGAACGGGGCTTCTTATAAGACACACAAAGCAATGTACAGGACAAGTCCTACAACAAACAAAATAGAACAGGGGGCAGGAGGTTAACAAACCAAATGTGAAGTCAGCGCATTTAGTCCTTGGCCACACGTAAGTTGGCTCTTAGCACTTACTGCTTATTATATTCAAGTGGTGAGGGATCGCTGTTCTTTGCAGAGATCAATCAGACAGAACCTTCTGCAGCAGCTACCTTTTTGAAGTGGTCAAACATAAAGGGGTCAGTGCTTGGAGAGTCTAACAGTTTGCTGCAAAAATCCTACTTCGTTAAAGGTATTTAGTCAATCTTGGGTCCCCGCAGACCTCCTGTTTCTGCGGGTTATGAGTTCTCAGTGTCATCAGCCGGCGCTAATTTGGCAATATCTGGTCTCAGCTGAAATGCCCCAGGTGCTTGTGTCACTGCTTGACACAGGCCCCTGCTCGATATGAGTGATGCCATCTTGCTTGCTCTCTACAACAGGCTGCTACGATATTAGAAGCATTATGATTTTCATACCTCAACTGAGTTATCTTTAAAACGGAGGCTAAAAGATATTTATGTCTTACTAACGCCTCTGAATATCAAGGAGCAAACAAACTTTAGGGTGAAGGAGGTGTAGAAGAAGGCAGGACACCCGTCTTCACCCAACTGTCCTGCTGTGATTTATGATAAATATATTTCAGTCTTCAAGCTTCCTGGCTCACAGCTCTAGAAATTTCCTAAGAAAACCCTTGTAATAAGAGCAATGGGCGCATCTTTTGTTATAATATTTGGTCTTTCTTCCTCAATTCCTGAAATTGCCTCAGAGCCATAAAGGTGAAATAGGTGTCTTGTTATTCATAAGAAGCCCTTTCCAATGACAAGTTAATGTTAATGACGTGACCTTTGGAAATCCCCTGAGGATGACAGGCTGGCTGCCTGCTGGGGGAACCAGCCCTGACTGGAAGGTTAGAATTTTCAGTCACAGCCCCTGATGAGGGCGGGGCTGGGGGGGGAAGTGTTGGAGGTTGAATCCCCAATAGCCAGTGATTTAATCAATCATGCCTATATAACGGAGCCTCCATAAAAACCCAAGAGTGTTTGGAGAACTTCCGGGATGGCGAACCTGAATGATAAACCTGCTAGTCCCCAAACTCCATGGGAACAGAAGCTCCTGCTCTTAGGGACCCCGCCCTACATATCTCTTCATCTGGCTGTTCCTATACTACTTCTGTAGTATTGTAATAATCCAGTAATAGTAAGTGCTGTGGAGAACAAAGGTAAAAGAAATTAAACTTCCTTACAACTTATAGCCCATTGACAAGTACTTGAGACAGTGACCTTCCTCATTGCTTAGCTGCCTCAATGTCAATACTTTGTTAGAGGCAAGAGGCAACCATAGCTCGATGTTAGCCCGACCTCCAGGATCCCGTAAAAATCTCTTTGGGAACTTCCTTATCTCTACCCTGCCCCCACCCCCACCTCCAAGATATATGTTAGCAGTCATCCTCCAAGCATAATGGCCCACTGATAATCTTCTGAGGGGTCTCCTGATAAGTTTTACTAGACAGTAATAAATGAGCTTTTCCTAACAATAGCGCTTCAAGGTCCTGGAAAC